CGGCGGCCCCCTAGCTGCTCTCCCCCGGCTTCCCCGATTCAGCTGCTGGTCAGTTTCAGCAGCGGCTGAATTGGGGAAGCTGGGGGCAGAGCAGCTCCAATGGTCCGGCTGCCCGGAGCACTTCCAGGTTCCTGATGGTGCCGGACCATCAGGAGTGCCAGACCATCAGATGCCGGACCAATGGAGTTTTACTGTAGTAAGTCTAAATCGTTTACTTATGGATCTGTAAAAGGAGAAAAAAAGAAACACTGGTGTAGCAATATGCACATTCCTTTATCTTCCTTTTTCATCCATATTAGAATAGAGTCAAGAACCATGAAAAGAAAGTAGATGAGAGGATCTCTTTCCTCCTGTTTGTTGACCATCATGTTCACACCTGCAAAACTTCATTTCACCTACCTGGAAATACCTTATTTTCCTATAAATCTAAATCCCTCACTTTCTTCCAAGTCTCTGCTACTATTACAGGACAGTTAAAACTTCCACAGCTTCAGTTTCCTTTACCAGTTAAATTGTCCATGCTGCCAGTGGTGTTTGAAGTGAAAAAAATACCCGTACCAAAAGAAAAAAAAAGCACAGAACTACCCCTGCTCTAGGCACTCATTATGCATGTATTAGAACCCATTCATTATGCACCCAGTTCTGACAGTTCACTGTGAAGTCCCTTCCTGAGATATGAAATATCCTATTCGGTGTTACAGATGTTAAATTGCTAATCAAGTAATAGAATTAGTTGATAACGGTGGGAAACTGCAGAACCGGCCCCGGGAGCTAACTCCACTGCAGCTCTGCCTTTTAAATGTATTAAGATCCTATTGGCAGAGCTGCAGCGATTTTAATACATTTAAAAGGAAGAGGTGCAGTGGGGGGGAACGAGCACGAGTCAGGAATCATCTGATTCCCGGCTCACACCCAATCCCCCCACTACGCCTTTGCTTCCTCTGTCACCCTGTGGAGACAGTGCTGGGTGGAACCAGCTTTTAAGCAGACTCCCCCCCAACACCAGCTCCTGCTCCCCTCTCTTGTTTCCTCTCTTTGATAGAGGCAGCAAAGGGGGGAAAACAACTATTCAATTGACTACTCAATTACCCGATAAGCATATGCTTATCAGGTAGTCCACTAGTCGCTTACATTCCTAATATGGACAAAATTTTCAAAAACCTCTAAATCCATAGCTGTGATGGGATGGATACACCCCACACTAGAGAGAGGGGGGTAAAAGGCCTATGGATGGAGGAAGCCCCACCCCTTTCAACAAACTGGGCATGTTCCCAGTGTGGGAACTGTATAAAAGGCTTAAGGCCAGCTCATTCAAGGGAAGCTGCAGGCAGGGAGGGAGTTCAGGCTGGAGCCAGCCTGGTTGGCACAGTCGTCCTCCGAGCAGCAACCCCAGCAGCAGACCCAGTCGCAGCTGCCACCAGAGGAACAAACCAAGCAGCTGTCCCAGCCACAGCCCTCTCTGGAGCTGCAGATCCCCATTGAAGGTGCCACTGCCGCGATCCCAGACACCACCCTAGGACCGGGAGACAACCGCAAGGTCCAGGTACACCATGCTGCAATCCAGAGACTGAACCACCTCCAGAGACAGTAGGAAGTGGCCCAGGGCAGAGGAATACTCTCCTGGGAGCACAGCATGCTGTGGGCAGACTTCCCGCTGAGTTGGCGGTGCAGTCATCACTGCCAACAGGGCCCTGCGTCAGGACCCGGTGGAGTGGGAGGGCATGGGCCCCCCTACACTCACCCCAACTAGTGGTTGGCTCCCCAGCAGCCAGGAAGAGCACACCGGCTATTCAGGCCTCTAGGCCACAGAACTTTTAGACTAGGCCAGTGGGCCATATTTCCCCTGAAAAAGGGGCACCGAATTGTGAGGCTGGTATCACGGGGGGTGTCGCGCCCCATAACAATGGCACTTAGAAGTCTATGCCCCACTGACTTCTAAACTACTTGAGCACTTTTGAAAATGTTACCATTAGCTTTTGAATTAAAATGTACTTCTCTGGGTCTTCTGGTTGTGGTCACCTGACAGAAAAGTAACATTGGTATACAGGGGTAATTTCTCCTGGTCTTATTATTATTTAAATAATTCTTAAAACATTAAGACCTTTTAAAGAATGTAAAGCATTTGGTCAGATGTTAGTCTGATGTATTTATTATACCCATATAACTAATCTATGTATCAGTAATACTCTAACATTTCAGAACTATCAGTATTGAGCTTCAGTATAGAAGCTACTTCTATTAAGGACCCTATTTGAAAATAAGTGCTTATTCTTATAATTATCAGTAGCATTACTCACAGCACCAGTTTCATCTTTAAGTGTTGAAATTCTTCCACTCAGTAAACTGAAAAATAAAATATTTAAGTTACAATGTAGTCTAGAAGAAAAGAGCATTAAACATGTGCAGAAATATTCTGACTCTCCATTATACAAATAACGCATCTATAATTCCATGAAATCACCTAATAACTGTGCATTGTCAAGGCTCCAAGTTTTCTGGGCAATATAGTGTCAGGAATTCATGATCTCTGAAAGGACATTAATGAAGAACTCATTCAGAGACATCTTTTCAGATGGAAGATGGAGTTGCAAGACGAAGTTGCAAGACAGGAGGGGGTGGGGGGCAGGTCCTTCCCTGTGCTGCCTTCTCTTCCATGTGACAGGGAACCTAAGTTCCCTGGCTTCTCATTAAACCCTTTTCAGGGGCTATTAAACCCCATGCAGGGGCTCAGGGCTACAGCAGGGAAAGCTCCCCCCCCCCCCCCCCCCCCCCCTAAGGAGGCCCTCCCCACCAGCCTCAGCATGGAGCTGTTGCGGGGAAAAGGGGTCCTTCCTCACTGTCCCCAGCAGGTAGCTGCCCAGGTAAGCCTAAGCCCCAACACCCTGCCCCACCTTGAGCCCATCCCTGATCCCCCTCCTGTAACCCCAAACCCTCATCCCTGGCCCCACCTCAAAGCCTGCACCCCTAGACTAAAGCCTATACCCCCTCCAGCACCCAAGGTCCTACCCCAAAGTCTATACTGCCTCCTGCATACAAATTCCCAGGCCTGAGCCCCTCTCCAAGCCGGGAACTTCCCTCATCCACTCCAAACCCTTCATCCTTAACCCTTGCACCCTAAGCCCTGCCCTCTGACATGGTGTTGTACATCAACTCTACAATAGTGCATGTTAGAAAAATCATTTTTCACAGGACTGGGAAAAAATAGAGGGAACACAGCATCAGACAGGAGACCATCCCCTGGAACTCCATTTTCTCCATGGATTCAGTGTAGCTGACAGAGGCACTACTGCCCAGCACCCGCTCGTCTTCTTCAAACATGAGGCAGAAATCCATTGTGACATGAAAAGTCCGCCATAGTTTCTCTCTCTATATAGTGGGTGAAGATGCCAGTTGCCAGGAAAGAGAACTAGCAACTCTAACAAACAGTGCTAGGTGAAGGCAGTGCTGGATTAGCTACTAGATCAGCGGGTTCCCAAACTTTTCCAAATGGGTACCCATTTTGACAATTCAGGAAGACATGGTGACCCAGGGCAATTAAAAAAAAAAAAGTGTGAATGGCTCCTTAAGAGCCACCTGGGGAGACACCTGGTGACCCTTTTGAAATGTAATGGCAACCCATATTTGGGTCCCGACCCATAGGTTGGGAAACCTTGTACTAGATTAACAGGGTCTATGCCCAGAAGCCGAAGCCTGCCGGCTATTAATATATTTAAAAATCAAAAGCAGTGGAAGAAACCCAGCGTGAGCTGGGACAGCTGATTCCCAACTCACGCAGGTCCCCCACGTTGCGCACCACCCTTTTAAATATATTAAGAGCCTGTCTACTCTTAATACATTTAAAAGGCTAAAGCGCAGGAGGGACCCAGCACAAACCTTCTAAATGTATTAAGAGCCAACAGGGCCAGGAGTTAACCCTGCTGCAGCTCCCCCAGCTTATCGACTAATTAATGGAAAATCCATTGACTAGTCAATTGGTTGATTAAATTAAATTTAACGTCTCTAGTCTAACTCCATTCCTGGCACAAGCCCCCAGACATGGAAAGTCCAAGCACTCCCGACCAGAAGCCATGGAGTGGCAGGCTTGTGCCAAACCCTGGTCTCTGGAAGATGTGCTGGGCAGATGAGGTGGCAGAAGCCCCAGAACTCTGACCCTGGCCCCTCACAGAAGCCGGTGGTGAGGGAAGCCCCAGAAGCTGGACCTTTACTATGTTCCTTAAACTGGAGGAGCTCCCCAGCGTACCTCAGGACTATGGTGTAGGGACAGAACTTTTCCAGTCTTGGGGCCACTTGGGAGGGGGCAGAAAGGAGCAAAAGGAGTTGTGGAGCTGCACGGAGGGGAAAAGTGGGAAGAACCCAGGGCTGAACAAGGGAAGTCCCCAGAAAAAAAGCAAAAAAAGGGTGAGGCTGCAGAAAGAAGCAAATGTGTGTTCTGGCCCAGGGCAGAAAGAACTTATAGCTAGGAGAAACTATGCTTTTTCCTAAAAATGACAACAAGCTTTGGATATTTGGGAGGGTTAGACACGACAAACTTAAGATTCAGATTTTGAAGGCTAGTTACTGCAAAAAGCAAGAAATATTTTTAAAATATTTCATTGAATATTCTCTCACATATGAAGACAAAAGAATTTAAATATCTGACTACTAGTTCTCCCAAGGGTGCAGCACAGTATACAAAATGATGAATATCATGGAGAAGTCAATACAGTGCTCCTGTTGACCACTCTCCTGATACAAGCACAAGCAGACATTTGAAATAGAACTCAAGAGGGAATACATTTTAAATCAAGAGAAGGATTTTTAACACTGTATAATAAAAATGTGGAATGTATTGCCACTAGATACAATGAGGCAGGCCAAGGGCTTGCTTGGAGTCAAAATACAGAGATAGGAAAATATACAGTTACATTAGATAAACAATTTTTATACATTCAATACACAAACCACTGACTGATTGGAGAAGAGATAAGACAGAAAAATTAATCATATGGACCCTTTATTCCTTCCTCCCAATCTATCTATTTGGAACAAGTTTTTATATGCTATGAGGAGACCCCAAAAAATTAGAGGGAAAAAATTCATGTGTCAAATCCAGGTTCATAATGAGGAAACTAGCAATTTTAATTAGACACATATTGTGCAACAGCAGTGGAAAAGGCGTATACTGCTGATCTAACACAGGTCTGGCTCAGCTTCACCCACCCACAGCACTGAATACCTCAGGAAGATGAATGATCCCTTCACCATTCTGTCTTCCTCCTGCACTCTGCCCCAATTGTGAGTGGAGGGAGTTGTGATGATAGAAAAAAATATATAATAATCAAACCCTCATAGTGTTGTTGATATAAAATGTTTTTTAATGCTAAGTAATTTTATTTAGTAAAAAGTATTAACATTTGAAATACCTGGAAAAAAAGGAATCTGGAATCCACATTAGTGTTTGTCTTGAGGTGCTGAACCTGTAAAACCAAAAATTAAAAGATCAAGCATTGCAGATACAGAGTACTTAGATGAGTTTCAGTTTTTTCAACACTACTTGAAAGAAGCCTAGACATACATTACACTGCAAAAAAACAAAAACAAAAAAAACCCACCACCCCACAATAGCAAGTCTCAGAGCCCAGGTCAACTAACTTGGGGTCACGGCTCATTCTATGGAGCTAAAAACAGCTATATACATATTCAGGTTTAGGGTGGAGTCTGGGTTCTGAAACCCAGGAAGGAGGGTGGATCACAGCCAGAAAGTCCACAATGAAGTCAACATAGGCTTCAAGACTTACTTCCATGGGTGGTCTTTTATTTTTTGTTGTTGTTGGGTTGTTTCTTTTTGGGTTTGGGGGTTTTTTGTTTTTGTTTGTTTGTGTGTTTTGCCACCATTCATATCCTTAGAGGTCAGACAGTGGTTCGGAAAACAGATTCCAGAGTGTAATCCTTACTGTGTGCGAAAATCTTAAAAGATGTGAAAAAACTATATTATTCTCATATCTCATTTTTATTATGGCAACTGAAGCCCCAAATCAGGACCCCAATCATTGTGCTAGACCCTATACAAAAACAAACAGTGAGAATCTCTGCTCCAAATATCTTATAATCCACAGACCTGCTCTTGTAAACATTCAGGCCACTTGAGTAATTTTATACAAAGAACCAATCAATCCTAGTATTTGCAATATTAATTCCTAAATTAAAACATGCAACAAACTTAGGGAGAATGTCAGTAATAATGACAAGGCAATAAGTAAAAAATATTTTAGAGTATGCTTATAGTATCCGTATTTATCTGCAACCGCTACTTATGTTTAATTGCCTACCAGTGTCTAGGGTTGCCAGGTGTCCGGTATTCACTCTACCAATTATACTGTGGCTGACCCCAGGCTCCCTGCAGTGCTGCCCCTTTGAAACACCACAGCAGCAGCAAAGAGTGGGGGAGCAACTAGTTGACTCTCCTGTCGACTAGTCCTTAACATCCCTAGCTCCTTGCCTGCCATAGTAGCTCCAGCCTGGCTGGAACAGCCCCTATCTGCAATGAACCCAGCCTGACAGCCCCACCTGCAGCGGGTGTGCAGGGGAAGGCTCTAGCCCACCCTGATTAAATCGGTAACCCAGTTAAATATAAAGTTTAAGCAGTTAACTAAACAAATGGAATTTTATATCCCTAATGCTTATCCAGATGGTCTTGGAATTCGTTATGCTTAATGGTAGCGTAAGGAAGGGTAAATTATCAAAATAAAGGATCATTAAGGCAAAGGGTTCCTAAAATACAGCTCCCACTTAAAAAAAAAATTGTTTCACCCAAAGGATGCAATCGTCATTGTAGGGAAAGGGACTGAAGAGAGGAAAGTTGAAGGAAAAGTGCCAAAATACCATTTTTTGTATAAAGTGTCACAATGTCTGTAAAAGAACAAGTATTTTATGAATTCATCCTTTTACTGGATCAGCTTCATATTTTCAGTGCCTACATTTCCTATTTATTGAAGGAAAACATTAGTTTCTAACACTGCAAAAAGTAGAAGCACAAAGATAATATAAACTCTTCTGTACTATACACAATGAGGACTGTCTGTAGTCATTCAGTGGTTCATTGTAAGCATGACAATGCCAAATCTGAACAAAGATACAACAGTGTGAGTACCGAGCATGAACATGCAAAATAAGAATTTATTTTTCTTGCCACTAAAAAATTTAAGCATGGCCTGTTGTTATTTGAGCTATTGTGAGTTCAAGATTTTCGGTAACTTTTCAGTTGAGACTTTGCTATAGCTTCCTTTATCATCAGGTATAAAATTCAATTTCTCTCTCTTAAAAAATCAGAATGCCCACATTACCATAGTTAGGTATGCATATAAACTTCAGAGTAAGAGAAACAAGTTTTCTGTAGTCAAAGAAAACAGTGATTTATACTACAATAAGATAGTCATTTGTCAATCTTCAGATCTTTGAAAATGCTTTAAATATATTCTTTAAACATACAAAATCAGTTAAATAAAGCCTTTCCTATTGTCTAAACTATATCCTTAGAACAATTACATTTTTATTTATAGCACTTTATCTCAAAATATGAGAAAAGTCAATTTTGAAATTTTACAAAATATTACCTTAGCTGATCGAGAACTTTTAAAACCCAAGAGCTTATGACCAACATTCACAAGCTACATGTCAATGTTTTATAAAAAACTAATGCAGAAGAGCCCAGGTAACAATTACTTTCAAAGTTTCAATGAGACTTTGTAACCCAAATCTTTGCTCAGCATTGCAATTCCTAAGTATCTTTCAGAATCTGGGCTCTAACCAATGACCTAGTTTTCATTGGGATATACATGTGCTCGGAAATGCTGAAAAATCAAGCCACTTACGAAGGTGACTAACTTAAAGCAAACTTGTGTAAAATGGTCCTAGAAGAATAAGGCACAAAACTAAAAACTAGGAGGGGAAACAATCCCTTCACTCCCATTCTTTATGAGTAAATCCAAGTGAGAAAATCATTCAAGACATAGAGTAGCACTTTAAACAGCAGACTGTAATAAAGTGGAGACACAATCCTTATTTCACAATAGCACAATTTAATACATATTACTTAACTGTCCTAAAAACTGATATTCACTGTAAGTAGAGTTAAAGTGAACATTACAGTTAATGCAGACAATGCAACTGAAGAACAAGAAATGTAAAAATAAAATCTAGACCTCATTTCTGGGACTGAGAAATAGCAATTCTAGTAAAGGTCACACATGCAACAATTTATATATGCAGTAACAAACTGCTAAGCGAGCAGCCATACCAGACATCTGCCCACACAAGATGTGGAAGTTGGGCAGGACAAAAACTGAGTGCCTTCAAACTTTCTAAAAGTGTCATCTACATCACAGCTATACTTCTTGAAGAATTATTTCATTTATAAAATTATTTTAATTGTATTGTGATTAAAGAAGATGAAAATTAGAACTAGAGATAAAGGAAATATAACCTGAATATCTTTTATTTATCAGATATAAAAACCACTGATTCAATCTATTGCCCTTGTGCAGCATCTTTTATCTGAAAGGGGAACAGGAGGAAATAATAGTTTCAGGTCTGCAGGGTATGTTACAAGGTTGTGATCAATAAGGTTTGACATGCAAAAAAAAACAAACACTAAAAAGAGGACAGTTTCTACTCACTCTGCTTACTCAGTCTAGAGCCGTGTTTCTCAACCAGTGGTATGAGTACCCTAAGTAGTACTTGAGAGAAGTCTGGGAGGTACATAAACACAACTGAAATTTGGAGAAAACGGAATTTTTGTTTTAAGTTTTTACAGTGCTTTGTTATTTTTATATGTTTTACACCCAAAAATTTCATTGCCCGCCCTGCTATGATTAAGTTGTTTAAACAAATGTGTTGCAATGGTAGAAAAAAAAATGTTGTGTGTCTGAAAGCGGTAGGTACTAGGAGTAGTTTTTTTTTTTTAAGGGGTACTTTATAAATAAAATAAAATAAAAAAAAGATTGACACACACTGGTCTAGAGCACCTTACTGTATACTACAGGATATTGAAAGAGGGAAGTGCTCACTCTGCTTTTCTGAGATTGCATATAATGCGGGCATTCCAGCACTATTTAGAGCCAGAAAGCAAGTCTATTAACTCAATTAATAGGCTAAAATTCTATATGCCAGGCACTGAGGACAGGTCTAGAGTACAAATTTACGGTGGCACAGCTACACCACTGTAGTGTGTCTAGGGAAGATGCTCTAGTCTAGGCGGCATAGAGTTCTCCCGTCACTTAGTGCCACCTCCAGAAGAGAAGCTCTCACAGACATACTGCTGCCTCTCCATGGGGGGGAAGGAGGTGGGGTTTAAGGTCAGTATAACTGCATCACCAGGCATGGTGATTTTTCACACGACCAGGCAACATAGTTACACCAAAGTATGTTTGTAGTGCACTCCAAGTCTGAATCTCAACAAAAGGTATAAGGGTGATTTCAGTCTAGTATGGATAATGACCATCGTTTTTTTCCTTTCTTAGAAAAAGAAATAAAATCCAAATGAATCTGCTCCATCTTATTGTCCCAGATTATCCATTGTTGCTTCAATTTGGGTCATCACCCTGTTGATATTTTCAAGGACCTGTCAAACAATGTCTCACAGACCTGTTTTTCTCTTTGAACTTGTGCAGTTTGACAGGATAATTCTCTATAAAAGGAGGAACCTTCTTCAAGAAATCTTAGGCGTTTTATTCTTTAGCATCTTCACTCCCAATTCAAGGCAATTCTACACAAAAGGGTATCTTCAGAATGTGAGCCAAACCAGAACATATCCACTCAGATGAAAGGTGTAGCCTCCTTCAATTAATTTGTATTTTAATACAAAAGAGAAAGTATATGACCCACCTAGCCAGATTGTCTACAGAGAACAGAATAGACTAATGTCCACACTGAAACTGAATAGCCATTCCTACGTGGATTCTATGGACAGTTTTAAACCCAATGTTTATGAGTGAAAAGCAATACAAAGATTTACAGATGTTAATTTGAGTCTCAAAGACAGGATATTAACTAGTATATGCTATAATGTAACAACATTATAAAAAACTGATATAATGCTATCCAAAGTCACTAAGATTTGCACTACTCGTAAATTTCTATCTAAAAAAATCCGCTGTGAACAATATATGAAAGAACAATTACTGAAAGTCATCTTTTAGAATTCATTTCCACCACTGATCAACTAGGAACATCACATCTGAATATAAAAAACTGCAACTATTACATTATAAAAACAGAAAAATTAAAGCATATTTAAAATACAAGAGGGTTATAATCAAGCAATTATGTAATCAAGTGTCAAGATTATATTTTATCTATTGTTCAATCAATAATTGGGCATATCTGTCATTTCAAGTTTTAAAAGTTTAAACAATTAAAACTTCAGTCATTTTACTAGGCATACATTTTAGGCTTTTTTCCTCTCCGGTATAGCTCACCT